CGACGCGCGATGAAGTTGTGAGGAATCAATATTGGGCTAAAATTTTTTCATATAAATAGTATTTATTTAAAATAATTATTGTTACAAATATCTAAGTATTGTTATTCACTAATGACACACATAACCTAACTATAATAAACTGATTAATAATTATTTATACTTACATCGACATTTTCTGTATCACTTTCATTACATTCCACATCATCTAAATATTCGTAATCTTGGCAATAATTTTGTGACATATTGAATTATTACATACGCTGAGGTAGAGGTTGTAAGATGTTTTGTTACATATATCAAGGTTATATGTATATAAGATCACATTTTCCAATTAATTCTGCTTTTTGTGCAGCCATGCGCAGCTCAACTTAATTCGCTTGTCGCGTACGAGAAATGTTCAACTTCACCCAACTTTTGCTACAACGTCGCAATGCTTGAAAAAATTATATATATGTTTATTGGACTGTGTTCGGAAATTTATTCGGGTGCACCCATGTATTATTTATCCTCGTTTAACATTTGGTGAACAACAAGGAGAAAATGATACATAGATGCACTTGAGTGAAGGCAATCTGGATGTCGCGCGTCGCGTATCGCGTGTCGCGCATCGCGCTGGTGTGCAAAAGCCATAAGACCGTAACACGCAAGCAGTAAGTGAATTGACCAATCACAGTAGAGACGGTAAGACCAGTAGCGAATCCAATGTTACGATTTCCTTACTGATTACATCTTACGGACTTACGTTTTTCTATGTGCTCCCGGCTTATCTGTTTCTATTAGGGTGCCGTCACATGTGGCGTAACCTGCGTAAGCGTAACCTGCGTATTCTAGTAATTTACTAGAATACGTTATTTTTTATTTACTAGAATACGCCATTCTGAAAGCCCGCATTCACATTGAACGTATTTCGCGGAAGATTAGAGAAATGCGGAATTAATGCAACCAAATGCTGATTAGAATTTCTGTTGTACACTCTAACAGAAATGCTAAATGAATTTCCGATTGGTTTTCGTAACCTATGCATCTAGAAAAGTACGTCTCATGGGGAACCGGCACCTTTCCATCGCGTATATATGAGCGGATGATCGAATAAATTATTAAAATCGGAAAATTTTGTGAAACCACTCTAATGGCCCCAGCACACCAGCGCGATGTTCGTCGCGCGCGACACGCGATATCCAATGAGAGTATACATTTAGAATGAGAAGATCGGTAAAGCTGTACGCTTATTGGATATCGCGTGTCGCACGCGACAAACATCGCGTTGGTGTGCCGGAGACATTAGGCCGGTATTCATAGTCGAGTCTTATTTCAAGACCGTCTTAAGTAATGTTTTAAGACTCTAATGCAGCCTTCTGATTGGTTCGTGACTTCTTAAGACCGTACATAAGACGGTCTTGAATATAAGATCTGACTATGAATACCGGCCTTAGGCTTATTTGACGCGTTTTTGCATGAAACAAAAAGAATTTGGCAAAAAAATGTCGTTTTGCTTTATGATCTGAGATATTAAGCGTTTAAGTTGATGACTATTGAGATTAGGAAATCTGTCACAGAGGCAAAATGAGGTTTATAATTGTTCCACATGGGTTTCGACTTTTCAAGCGATGCAAAGGGGCGCACGACTTTTATAATTGTACTAGGAACAAATAGACGCGTTCGCGCCTGTTTGTACCATAGACTTATAAAATAGACGGAGCGTTCATACGAGAGGAGTTGAAGACAACATTGAAAGACAGCTCTACTCCAGACATAGTTGTCTCCCTCTTTCACAGTGAGCGGTAGGGGACCAATTAGTTTAAGCGTAAGGCCACACTAACGAACATCTATCTTTATTGTTCTCGGCCACTTCCCGGCCTGCCGCGGCGACCAATCAATTCACTACTAGAAAAGAAGAGAACTACTCCGCTGTTTCTTTTTCTTTCTATCACGTCTTCAGCTTCTCTCGTATGCATGCTCCGTCTATCTTATAAGTCTATGGTTTGTACTACTACACCATGAAACAGTTGCTCACACCAATTCACGGATTCACTAACACATCGAAAGCGCCTAGAAATGACGGCGACCAATAACGAGGGCGTCGCCCCTCATGTCTTGATTCTTATTATAGGGACTCTATCACTACCGCACTACCAACGCTAAGCCCGGATATAACACTAAGTCCGAATATACGATACACATATATTAATAATAATAATACTATATTATTATTACTATTAATATTAATAATAAAAATATTTTCAATTATTAATTTAA